TTATATATTTGAAGGCTAATTTACTATTCTGTTTTAATTTTAGTGGATAATAAACATTTACAAACCTTTGTCATCCAGAAAAAGAGAGTGGTAATAGAAGAAAAATGCAGGGGATGAATTCTGTAGGGATGAGGCAGTGCTCCTGCTAACTGAGTTTTACCTGAATAAAAGGCTTAGTGTTTAGAGAAATAAAGTCATATTGTATTGGTTATCTTATTCCTGAATTCTGAATTTGGTTATGCAGCATGCTTTAAACCATAGCTGAATTCATCCACAATTTAGAGTTGCCTGAAATTCAGGTGCTGGTTGTCCTTCCAGAGTCCATGGTAGGAAGGAGGAAGCAGCCAGTAACCGTTCCTGCATTGTTCAGATCCTGCTGAGTCACAGTGACAGTGTTCAATGGGCCTGTTCAGTCAAGCCTTGCAATGGGAGGCTTAAGACTTGATTTTTTTGAGACAAAGGTTTGGAAGGCAGTGCAGTATTTCTCATCTTATTTTTCTAATTGTACCAGCTCAAAAATATTTTAATTTGATTTGTCTAAGATTATGTAATGTTATCTGAGGTGAATGCATTGAGCAATGGGAGTTGAGTTTGGGATAGAAAAAAGCAGTGAATTCTCACTCTGAATTGTTTAGAGGGGTTTTGGTTTTATATTTAATAGTGCTTACACATCAAACTTAATTTATTTTCATTTTTTTTAATTTCATCTAGCTATCGAGTGTATTGTCTGCTGGGAGATGGAGAGTTATCCGAGGGCTCTGTTTGGGAGGCAATGGCCTTTGCTGGCTTTTACAAGCTGGATAATCTCGTTGCCATATTTGATGTTAACCGTCTTGGACAAAGTGACCCCGCTCCTCTGCAGCACCACGTGGAAATCTACCAGAAACGCTGCGAGGCCTTTGGGTATGTGAGGGGAAGGAGCTCAGGATAATCTCTCGTTCCAAACTGTATGTTTTATTTGCTTCTCAGAATTGTTCAAATGAGCTTTCAGCTCTAAAGGCTGCCATCAACAAGGAAGATGGTCTTTCATAATCCCTGATAATGGTCGACTTTATGGGTACAGCAGGAATATTAAAAGTGGCAGGATTTGTCGTTTAGAGGAAAAATAAGAGGACTGCTTACTCAGATACATTTGTTAGAGGATCTTAAAACTGTTTTTATCATATTAAATACAGATTTTATGACTGTGTGACCACATGTACTGTCATAGCAAGTAGATCAAAAATGCAGCATGGAAACCATGACAATTCTTTGTGTATCGGCTTTCATTTAGTTTCATATTTCTATGTAGATGCAAAACCCATGATAAAAAACTGTCATATACAATAGCAGCCATGCAAATTATGATGGAGCTTTTTTTTTTTAATCAACTTCCATTGTCAGTTTTTATCTTATTTCTAGATGTTTGATTTGCTCTTATTATTAAACATGGCCATTATATCTGAAGAAATGTAGGATAACTTAGTTATCTGTGGGCTGTGAATTTTGCTTTTAGCTGTTGATGCCTCTGTGACTCTTTTTGCGTTATAAAAAAGCGACTGTGGTATTTTTTATGATATCAAATAAATGCTAGTTTGTGTTTCTGGCACACTTTGGGTCCCTTAAAAAGACACTGCACTGGAATGACATTAGTATTCATTATTGTTATTGCTGACTCCCAGAGAGTGTCACATGCTAAAACCCTTTAGAAACAGTTGATCTGTTTGTGTTCTTAGCTGGCATGCTATCATCGTGGATGGACACAGTGTGGAGGAGCTTTGCAAAGCCTTTGGCCAGGCCAAACACCAGCCAACAGCCATCATTGCAAAGACTTACAAAGGCAAAGGCATATCAGGTAATAAAACATCTCTTGCTGTGCAGGCTCGTGTATGATATGTGCATGATACTGCAATAAAGGTGCCATTAGTAAAAAATAAGGAAGTTTAATGTTTCATACATTGGAAATACATTGTATCCTGTCAGCTTTTTGACTTGATCATCCTTCCATGCAATCTGAAAATCAGAATTTCACCCTATTGTCTCCTTCCTTTGTTGCCTTTTCTTAAGGAGGACAATCAGCCTGAGGCTTCATTGGAGGCTGGCAAAGATGTGACTCAGTTCTTCCTGTTACCCAGGTGCACTTGGACTGGGTGGTTACAGATCCCTTGTTGCAGAGCAGGATTTCCTCTGCTGGCAGCTGTTCTTGAGTTGTTACTCTATAAAAAGTCTTTTCTAGTCTGGAAGATGAGTAGGGACAGGGGAAACCATATGACTTGCTCTTGAAAGTTGTCCTGGCAAATGAGGGCCACTTTCTTGGCGTGCCCTTGATCCTGGACTCACAGAGACTACTCTGAGAAGGGAGTAGCTTTGTCACAGAAGGTCCCTGTTCCCTGTGTTGCAGGTGGCTGGGTCTGCTGTTCCCACAGGCAGTATTTTCCAATGCATGGAAAACAAGGGGGTGTGCTGCAGTTACAGCTTTGACAAAGCTGCATGAGACAGGGTCCATCAGCTGCCAGGTCATACTGCAGCTTAATTCTTATATGATGTGGAATTCATGGAGATACAGGGTACAGTAGCCTTTAGAAATTATTTCACAGGTTAGCAGCTGTTTGAGTTTTTCACAGTGTCTCTAAGATCTTTTGGAATTTTTACGTGGTGTGAGACTCACACAAATATTGTTGTCCAGGGGACAGGTGTGTACCTGCACATCTGAGCAATAGCATGCAGAAAGTCTTTCAAACTCTCTGTGCTTCTCAACACCATTATTGCTGAGAAAGTTACCGTGGTTCTTGCAAGTGAGATGTGTCCCAGCTAACGGAGCGTTGTATCCACGGAGTGGAGTAAATGCATGTTCAGTTGTCAGGGGTTGCTGTGATTCTCTTCAGCTCTGGCTTTCAGCAGCACTCTGCGAGTTTGCCTTTCTGACCAGATAAATATTAACAACAGGAGTGAATATCTTCATTCCTTTTCTTTGAGTAAGCGAGCAAAATTCATTATTCGGGGTGACTTACTCAGGGAAAGCAGTGTTTTGGCCAGAGAGGTAATTTGGCTGTTAGTGCCAGGTGCACAGATAAGAGTCATCAGAAGCTATTAAAATAAAGCTGTAAAACGTCAGGTCTTGTTTGAATTAGACAGCTTGGTTAACTGTTGTTTCAAACTTAACTGAGTTTGTTTAATCAGGCCTAACTGTTGAAATTTCCTGTGAAATGTTCACACTGATTTACTGATTGCTTCCTGCCACACTTACAGACCAGGTCTGTTAGGTGCCAATTTAAAAGTAGAAGACACTGTGATTTTGTCACAAGTTTGGAGTAAATTATTCCTCTTACATGTTTAAACATGTCTGTCTTAATGCAATTGATTACTATTGTAATTGTTTAAGGAATTTCTTCCTTGGAAGACAATACTAGACTGTTGTACTCCACTGCACTTATCTGGGTAAAATCTGCGGCTAAAAACCAAGATTGTTTTTATACTTTTCTTACTTGTAATGTGATTTATACACAGGTGTTGAAGATAAGGAAAGCTGGCATGGAAAGCCCCTTCCAAAAAATATGGCTGAACAAGTCATTCAGGAAATAGATGATAGAATCCAGAATAAGAAAAAGCTTTCTCCAGCCCTCCCAGAAGAAGATGCACCTATAGTAAATATTAGAAACATTAAGATGCCATCTCCACCAACTTACAAAGTGGGAGAAAAGGTATTCCCTTCTTTTTCAGTGTTTGTCAGATATTTCAAAGTGTGAGACTGTTTAAATGTATGGCAGGAGGTTTTGTGTTATCCCTTCCCACAATTTGAACTACCCACCTCAGCAGGCGAACACCTACTTCTGTGGTGTGAGACAATCAACTCGCTGGGTATTGAAAGGGTATATTAAAATAGGAAGACTCAAATCACTCTTCTTCATTTTGTGACTATTATCAATTATCTCAACTACTTTATGTGCGTTTAAAATTAAAGAAACTCCACAAAGTTCAGTGAATTTCCATGATTAGAAAGCAAGGTTTTAAAAATTTCCTAGCTGGATTGGTAGGGAGTTGCTGATTCCAATACATTAGGACACAATTCCTAATGCTGCGTTGTGGTTTACTTTTTCCTTTTTTTATTTACTCTTCTGTGTGTCACCGTTCTCATATGTACTTTTGATACTGCTATCATTTAAAATGCCTTTGGTTGTGTTTTGGTTTTGATTGTATGTTCATAGACTTAACGGCAAAACAAAATGGGAAGGAAAAAAATACCTGTAGAAACAGAAAGTTCCAACAGCCCTGCTGTGTTTTCCTTTCCCAGTGGGCTACACGCAAAGCTTACGGGGTTGCACTGGCAAAACTGGGCCATGCCAATGATCGAGTGATTGCTTTGGATGGGGACACAAAGAACTCCACCTTCTCAGAGCTCTTCAAGAAGGAACACCCCAGTCGCTACATCGAGTGCTACATTGCTGAGCAGAACATGGTAACTGCCCTCCTGCCTTTACCAAAGACTGGTGTTGCCATGCAGTGAGTCTCCATAGAGTGGGGTTCTAATGCTTGCTTTTCAAATAAATGTATGGGGTAATTGTAGCAATAAACAATTTGGGAATCTTGTTCTAGTTTCCATTTTGCTATAGGAGAGCCCTTTTAGGAAATATCAGTCTAAATAACACAGGTAAATCCATTCCCTCTTGGTAATGATAATTTTTGCCTGCTGGAGATAGCAAAACTGTGTCCTTCGGGCTGAAAGTGAAAGCTTTTGATCCAGTAGAAGAAAGGGGGATAATTCTTAAAGTTCAGTGAAAGGCTGTTTGGAGCAGATAGAGAAAAGAAGCTGCCAGTAAGAATCAACAACAGCTAGCAGCTGAAGCGAGGAGCAGAGGAGATGCAGGAGGATAGGTAGTGGAAGAGCAAGTTGCTTCCTCTCCATGTTGGAAAAGCCAACAATTAGAAGCAGGACTGGACAGAGATTTTTAATCTGCTAAATTTTTAGGGCAGGAAGTCCCACGGACGATGTCTCGGAAACAACCGATAAATGAGGAACTCACTGTTGTTGTACAATCTCCCTGCTCCAGGTGAGCGTTGCAGTCGGTTGTGCCACTCGGGACAGAACCGTTGCCTTTGCCAGCACCTTTGCCACCTTCTTCACGCGGGCGTTCGACCAGATCCGCATGGCCGCCATCTCCGAGAGCAACATCAACCTCTGCGGCTCCCACTGCGGCGTCTCCATCGGTGAGGGCACCTGGGGCCAGCAGCTCCTGTCCAGCTAGGGATGATCATGCTCTGTGGAGACAAGCAGTGCTGTAGCTGGGGTGCTGTAGCAGTGTGACACTGATAGGAGGAAGTCATATTTGCAAATTCGCTTTTGTGAGGCACATTGTTATATTTAGAAAGAATGAGGAAGGTTTCAAGCTGTCACCTGCTTTTTTTTTCCTCTTTGGCCTGATGAAAATAGGATTTTTTCCTACAAGCTTTTGTACTGTGCCAGTAAAGACTGATATAAAGGGATTTGACGGAAACTGAGGAGCTTAGATTCCTGTTCATCTCTGCAGTCATGTGCTTCTATTTTGTTTCCCAGTCTCTAAAGTGAGAAACTAATGATACTATTCTTGCCCAGATGCTCTTGTCCATCAATCTCAAAAACCCTTCAAAGATCACCCATTTGAAATAACTGCTTCAACTTATCTCAGTATTTTTTACTACTGGAACTGTTCATGCATTGATTAAAAAAAACCCAAAATCTCTAAGTATGATGAAACAGGAACTGTGAAGCTCTTATGTAATTCAGGTAACTGAATCATAGAAAGGTTTTGGTTGGAAAGGAACTTAAATGTCACCTTGTTCCAACCCCTCTGCCATGGGCAGGGACACCTTCCCCTAGACCAGGTTGCTCAAAATCAGGCAGGATTTGCCCTTGGTGAAGCCATTGGTTGTCCTGAATCACCTCCTGTGCTCCATGTGCCTTAGCACAGCTTCTAGGAGGATCTGTTCCAGGATCTTCCCAGGCACAGGGTGGTAGCTGGTCCTCTCTTTTCCCCATTTTAAAACTGGGTGCAGTGTTTCCATTTCTCCAGTCACCAGGGACATCACCTGACTGCTATGACTTTTCAAATATCATGGAGGGTGTCTTGGCAACTATATGAGCCAGTTCCCTTGGGACTCTGGGATGCATCCCATCAGTTCCCATAGATTTACATATGTAGAGGTTCCTCAGGTGGTAACCAAGTACCTCACAGCTGCTCTCACAGTCCCTGCCCCTGCAGTGGGATGGGGAGGAGAATAGAAAAAAACTCGTGCATTGAGGTAAGAGCAGTTTAGTAATTGAAACAAAGTAAAATATACTATTACTACTACTAATAATTGTAAATTAAAAAATAACCCCCAGGAAAAATATGCACACTACAATTGCTCACCACCCACTGACTGATGTCCAGCCTGTCCCTGAGCTGTGATCAGCCAGTTCCAGTTAGCTGTCCAGGCTGTGCTCCCTCCCAGCTTCTTGTCCACCTCCTCACTGGCAGACATGAGGACACTGAAAAGCCCTTGACTTAAGGTAGACAGCCAAAGCAACAACCAAAACATCAGTGTGTTATCAACAGTATTCTTATCCTAAATGCAAAACACAGCACTGTAGCAGCTGCTAAGAAAAAAATTAACTCTATCCCAGCTGACCCTAGGACGTGTTACAATGGAGGGACTTTGCTCCCCCAGTCCCTGTCCTGCAATCCATCCACTCAAGAGGTGTGGGAAGAGGGATTGCCAGTGGAAACCAAAGCAGTGCAGCCTGAGAGCAACAGGCTGAGGGCCCTTGCCAGCAGAACCTTCCCTGGTCTTGGCTTCCCATCCCAGCTCTTTGGAACACGTCAGATCATATTGGGGTTTGACTTTGGTTTGAGGGAGGAAGGGACTTTAGTTTTTTTTTTCAACTGAAATGCGTAGACATCACCCATGAAAACAGGAGCAGACTTGCACACCTAGAAGGAAAATGCAAGTAGACATTCATGCTTGAAAAAGTAGTGGGTATTTATAGGGAAAACGAAAGGGAGGGAGAGCTGACAGGGGTAGTAAATGAAGGCTCTCTGCACACATCAGTTTTGCAGTTGATTTAATAGTTTTGGCTGGCAGTATGGTTTGGAAAAGACTTGGGGGTTTTATGTTTAAAACAAAATAGTTAATTTGACCTGTAATATTGGTAAAGATTTAAAGATACTTTGTAAATGTGTGTACTGTCATCCAGAGCCTCAAACCTGCTATATATATGTACTTGATATGAACTATCCTGCTGTGTAGAATATGCTGTAGTGGTGGAGACTGTATGTAGAGTGTATCAGATTATGGCTTTTGTATGTCATTAAGGGAGGGATTCTTTTACAAGTCTCTTTTCTAGTTAAAAATCAGTCCTCCCACCTCATCATAGTCTAGTTCAATCCAGTTTAAGACTTCTAGCAAGCAGCAAAGTGTGTTGGTGCAAAAGCCAATTAGTTTTGGTCTTTGCTCATTTAAGAAGATAAAACTCGTTTGAGCTACCCAAACTGTCTCCTAGAACTACACTTCCAGGTTTCAGTTTTCAGCACTTGGAATGTTCTGCTGGGAGCTGTGATTGCCAAGTGCATACTTGGATTTATAAAGTTGTTGGAATTACAAATCTCATTCAGGCCTCAACTTTGATTTTTCAAAAAAGAATTTCAACCCAAAGTTTTGCAACTTATATAAAGAGTTATAAAGAAAATTACTCAGAGAAACCGTTGAGCAGTTAAAAAATTCAATTTTAAATGGAAGGGTATGAATTAAGTGTATGTCCTATTAGAACTTTAGGCCTGCATGGAATTCAAAATCTGCATGGAATTCAGAATCCAATCTGGATCTGTGGTGAAAATTGAAGTTTATGTATGCAGTTCTAGGTAGACCTGGGCTTCTGCTGCACTGACATTTGGACCCATTAAATTTATGAGAAATGACCTTCTGAACTTGTACTAAGTTCACTCCTAACCAATAGTGGCCAATAAGTTTTAAGGTCGTAAGAGAGTAATGGAAAAATCTGTATTTTCCAAACTGAATATGCAAGGAAAGAAATCATAGTGTACATCTGTCAAAAATAGAAATATCAATTGTTTAGACAGTTTTATATCCTGGACATTTGATACTGTTATATTAAGCACTCACTTTTTTTATTAAGCTATAAATCGAGGTTTTGAGAGTTATTCTCTCTTTTGATCTATGGTACTCTAAAACCATGTAAATTGGGATTTTCATAAAGACTTGGGGCCAAACAACTTAGTACTACTCTGTAAATTTCTGGTATGAGCTGTGAGTGCTGTTGGTATTGGCACCACTGTAGCAAAAGCAGGAAAAGCATGAGTAACTCTCTACCTTGGATAAGATTCGAATTCAGGTACCTGATAATTTTATTCTTCGTAATTTCACTTTTCTTCTATGTCTGCATTGTGTGGGTGCATTTTAGGAAAGGAAAATGCCCACTGAGATCCCACTCATTCACTCAAGAGTGCACACAGATTTAGAAGCTGATGTTGAGAGGTTTTTCTCATGTCATGACTGAAAGCAGAGAAGCTCTCTCTTCCTGGTTGGTGCTATCTTTACTAGGAATGTACAGTGGCAGAGTTCAATGCTTGATTTCTTTAACATGTTTAAAGTTCTTCAGAGTTTTGTGCTGCCCTTATGAAAATAGTCTCCTCCTTCCTCGTGAACTCGTCCTTCTTGACTAACAGGTAGCGGGTGCATGTGGGAAGGCTCATGGCCCTGCTGCTGCAGGCTGGGACATGACTGGATTCAGAGCTCTTTGCATGGCTGGTTTGGAGCAGTGCCATTCCCAAAGCTCCGTTACATAAGGTCACTGGGGGCGGGGGGTGTTGTGGTGGTTGTTTCTTTAACCATGGAAATCCATGGCATCAGCACGTGTCCTGGCTAGGGATTCCTTTCCACGGATCTGCAGGTTATGCCATGAGGCGCTGGAGTTGTTAAATTAACAACACGGATGCCCTGCTGCTCCTTAAAACACCTTTTTATGGTATTGAAAAATGCAGACATACCCTTCATTTAATCTTGAAATGAGCCCAAGAATTTGAGAGTAGTTGCACCAATTGCACTCTCCATTTCTGATGGAACACATGCCATTCTCCTTTCACGTTTCCAGCAGTTTAAATCTGGAGGAACACTTATTGACAAGTATCAATTTTGCTTGTGTAGCCTCAGTACATGTAAATCTGAAGATGCTCAGATATCTTGTGACCCTCTTTCTGTATCTGTACCCTTCCAATTTGGTTGTATTCCTTTTGTGTTGTTTTATTGTTACACTTTATTTCCTATTTTTCTTTTTAATCCCAGCTCTCTTTCTTTTTAGTCTCTTTCTGTCCTTATTTACTGTTTAGATGGTTCCAAGTTTAAGGAGAAGATGATTCTTTTCTCAAGCAGGTAGACTTGCATGTCGTGTGTGTGCCTGATTTTATACTTTTCTCTTTTTTGCCTGGTTTACGTTGACCCTCACTGCTGTGTTGAGTGATTGCCAGAAATGTGCACTTGCCCTTTTGTAACCCTGGTTTAATTCTTTCAGGTGAGGATGGGCCATCTCAGATGGGACTGGAGGACCTGTGCATGTTCCGGGCTATTCCCAACTCCACTGTGTTTTATCCCAGTGATGCTGTAGCCACTGAAAAAGCAGTGGAAATAGCTGCCAACACCAAGGTTTGCATCACAGTATTTCTGAGCCAGAGAATAATTTTGTCTTTTGTACTACTCTTGTTTCTTCTGGCATGTTTCTTGCACGTCTCTACCCACATAAATTCTTTCAAAGGCTCCAGTGTGGCAGTGGGATGTTTTCTATGCAAGGAAAGGTTGCAGACATTCTCTCCAGGCTAGTGCAGAATGAACAGTCTGGAATGCTGTGGGCCAGATTTGGGGAGATGTAAATGATTACACGGCAATTGCAGTTTGAATATGTACTGGCTCAGAATAAGGTTAACTTTCTTAGGTATCAGCAAACTTAGAAGTGCACTCCCAGTACGATGTCTCTGGGGTCAAAATTGAAGCTGGATGTGGAAAGATAAATTCATCTTGATCATCAGGTGCCTGCAGGTGGAAGCTCAGGAGTCAGGTGCTCTGTCAGTCTAAGGCTCCTGGGGGCACTCAGAGCTGGGGCTCACAC